GGGCAGTTGAGCTGAACATTGTCGCTATACAATTATTGGCATAATAACAAACTGAATCAGCATCGAATTACAATTTTAAGATTTTGTTTCCTGGCGTGCTGAAGGTTACAGTACAACCAGAAATTACTGAGAATTTTTTATATTTTTTTCACTCATTACTCGCGTATTAAATGTGAATATTAGCAGAACATAACTCCAGATTCAAAGACAGGTGAACAGTTAGTATTTTGTCAAGTCACCATGGGCAGCAATGCAGGCTTCAATGCGGCCGGACATACTACTGATCAAAGAAGTTAGAAAGTCGTGGTCCATGCTGTCCAAATATCGGACCACCTCTTCTTTCATGTCAGCAATATTTGTCAGATTTTTCTTATTGACACTTTCCTTCATAAGTCACCAAACATTTTCTATTGGATTTAGGTCAGGGTTTTAGATATGCCACCCCACACCTTCGGACAAATTTCGGACTGTACTTTGGGCGCTGATACAAAGGTTTTTCAATTTGTTTGGTCCAGAATTTCAGTGTATTAGGAAACAGCCACACAGAACTTTCATCTGAGAAAATCGCATTGTCCCAGTTAAAATTTCTATGCTGTAAGCTCCAGTTCAACCTTCGCTCCTTTTGTTCAGGTTTCATGATCGGTGATGGAATTCCTCGACTTTTCTGCCAACCCATTGCATGCAGCTCAGTTCGAATTTTCTCTTTACAGACAGCCACAGTTCCTCTATCAATCATATCCAGCCTTAAGTTTTCTAAACTCCTTCGTTTGTTTTTAGAAACAAGAATACTAAGCCGTCTCCTGTCACCGACACTCAATTTTCTTGGCCTACCTGCGCCTCCCTGGTGCTCAATGCCATATCCATTTGCAATATTTTTCAAAACACGATTAACAGTGCACAAAGGGATGCCTGTTCTACTTGAAATCACGTCAGCTGATCTGATGTCCTTGTTATAATACTCTAAAATCAACTTCCTCTTCTCTAAATCATCCATACTGAGGATCGTCTGCTAGCAAGTAAACAAAAGAAATAATTATTCACAAACTAATGAAAAAGGATTAACGGAGTTGTCTCTCTTGAATGAAACCAAGGACTTGATAGCTGGTCAAGGTTGTTTATACTAGAAATCCAATTAAACATATTCCTAAAATTTGCAATAATTTCTGGTCATACTCTAACTCACCACGAGAACTGCCTGCCTTAGAGGACTGAGCCACCAAGACATTTTTAAACACTGAATATTAGGTCAATGCCAGGATGCAGATTTATGTTTCGGTGTATATAACTGAGTGAGATTTTACGTCACTTTAAGCAATATTACAGCAATATCCAGGCGGGAGAGAGCAGAAATGGGCTTCACATGTTGTATCCATGTTGGGACTTGAATACAGGTCTTCAGCGTGACGATCTAACGCTATAACCTAGGCTACTCCACTGCCCGCAGTCTTTATAAAGGACTGGAACTTAACTATTACATAACGTACAATATAATTTGCATCTACATTTTCGTTCGCTCCTATTTGCACACGGTAACTGGCTTTGCTTTTGCAGATGACATAGAGGATGAACAGATTGTGTATGCATTACAGGGGCGGTGAGCTAGCCAAGTGGTTAAAGCTTTCGCTTGTCACTTGGAAGACCCTGGTTCGATTCGCCACATGGGTACATTGTTTGAAGCCCATTTCTGGTGTGTAATTGTTGCAGAACGTCAGGTTGCTTGTTTTGATTAGGCGTGTAATTGTTGCAGAACGTCGGGTTGCTTGTTTTGATTTGGCATGTAATTGTTGCAGAACGTCAGGTTGCTTGTTGTGATTAGGCGTGTAATTGTTGCAGAACGTCGGGCTGCTTGTTGTGATTTGGTGTGTAATTGTTGCAGAAAGTCGGTTAGCGTGTTTTGATTAGGCGTGTAATTATTGCAGAACGTCGAGCTGCTTGTTTTGATTTGGTGTGTAATTGTTGCAGAACGTCGGCATGTTCCTGGATGTAACCAATATGGCGTCAATGAAGGTCACGTGTTTTGCGCCGTATGGAGAGAGCGTGCAACTGATATTTGTAAGTATTAGAAACAAACACTTGCCACTTTAATGCAGGTCGAAAAGACTTGTCGAAATCACATTTCGGTTTCCAACCTTTTTGCACGCGTCACATATTTACAGGGAATCTAACCTTTTCATCCATGGTCTCTTGCCAAATCTTTACATTATATTTCAATATAGTATACGTGGCATGAGGAGTGAAAGTCACATGCTTGATTAAATTCTGTTATATTTGGATCAAACAAAATAAATTAAGAAATTAAGTTTTTTTCTATCCTTATCCAGTCAGTTTTAGGACAAAAACATTCATGGTAAAAAGGATTGCCTTATATATACTGAACAGCAAAAGAAACGCAAGTCTGGCTTTTTGTGAAGTTTTTGAATAGAAGACAACCAAAATCATGTCTAATCATTTATTCTATAGAAGACACTGTCAATTTAAGAGCTGACATTGAATTGCAATAAGTTCAAATTGATCACAGTCCGTCAAATGGAGATACCCCTGAACGCAAAAAGTGACAGTCTCTTTAGAAGCGCGTATAGCCACCTTGAGCCTGCACATAGGCCGTTCAACGCGGCCTCATTGAGTTCACTAGAGTCTGAAAGGATGCCTGAGGCAATTGTTTCCGCCCAAACACCAATCTCTATTCCAATTGTACAAGTGTGAGTGGCTGTCTACCTGCCCCAATCCTCCGTCCAATTTCGTCCCAAATGTTCAATGGGAGCCATATCCGGTAAAGAGATGGCCATGGCAAAATGTTAATGTTGTTCTGAGCCAGACAATCCATCGACACCCATGCTGTGTGAGGGCTGCAAACGTCATTGGCGTTGTTGACGTGCCAAAATTGGCCCCACATATGGCCTTGGGCAGTGGATTCCAGCAGCCCGAAGACGACGCCTAATCGTATCGCTGGACACTGCTCCCTATGACCCAAGAATTAAGGCTGCTGTTACTGGTGCCGCTTGAGTTCGGTTCCTTAGATGAGTGACCCGGATGAACCGATCTTGCGTATGAGTTGTTACTCGTTGCCGTCCGGTACAGGGACTATCAGCAGCAACCCCGGTTTCATGATGACGTTGAGCAAGTCGTGTAATGGTGGTAAAATGACAGCCCAATTGTCTAGCTACAGCGGTTGCAGAGCTACCTCCGTGCAACTTTCAAATGGCCATTCCCCTCTGCTCAGTCGTTAGTCTACCTGTACACCTCCTAGGGTCAACACTGAACTGTTTTTTGACACAAACCTTTATAAAGGATACCTCAGAGTGAAATGCATGCTTTCCATCCAGAACCTTCGATGCACGTGCTAAAATTATTGTTTTGTTGCACTGTTGGTGTGTTTGTGCCAGTGTTTGGTATGGACGTCAAATTGCATGACATCATCTCATCGGGGATCATGACGTCACTTTACCATGAACGTTCCATAAACATGAACGCTTACCTTCATGAAATTTCATTTTTTCGAAACTTGCGTTTCTTTTGCTGTTCAGTATACTATTTGATCCCATGAGTTTCTTTCTAAAGAAGTATTCTTTATCTAAATCATATAAAATCACAGCTCGACGAAATGTACGCGACACCTAAACACAAGAATCACTGTAATTTTCCAATATTGAAACGTAGGCGTTTGTATTATGGAAACATATAGAGGATACTAAACGACTTTCCGTGTAATACAAAGTTAAACGAGTTAATGATTTGTTATCAACGGACCGAAAGCGAGTTTGATGCTAAATATTTCACGAGTTTAATGAAATGGTATTTCACGAAAGCAAGTTTAGTATACTGTTTTACCCGTGAAGGTCCGGGTTAGAATGAGCCTTCAGTAACCCATGCTTGTCGTAAGAGGCCACTCACGGGATCGGGTGATCAGGCTCGCTGGCTTTTTTGACACGTCATCGGTTCACAACTGTGCAGATCGATGCTCATGCTGTTGATCCCTGGATTGTCTGGTACAGACTCGATTATTTACAGACTGCCGCCATATAGCTGGAATATTGCTGAGTGCGGCGTAAAACTAAACTCACTCACTCACTCACTAGTATTCTGGGCCTACATTTTCGAAGCTCTCTTAGCGATAAGATAGTCGTAAGTTCATGTTAATGTATGGCACTTACGACTATCTTAGCGCTAAGAGCGCTGAGCTTTCCGTAGTCAAGCAAGGCCTAATGCCATTGTGACAGAGGAATTAGCATTGTGACGTCATAACTGTAAACCATTATGACGTCATACGTCTTGCGGTATTACACTAGTGTAATATTGCCTTATTATTACCTACGAGGGCGAACATATCGGGGTTCATATTTTTCATACGATGCCCTAGGGCAAAATATCACTTTGTCATGGTGACGTGACGTCATGAACAATGGTATGATGTCACGTTTCTTTTATAACGTTGCGTTCTACATGCGGCGATGGCGGGTAGCCAGCCTGTGTTTGAAAGTAGATTTGGGTTTATTTTCCTCAATTTGACGACACTCGTGCCTAAACATCGGTATATCCCTCGCTCTCGCTCGGGAAATACCAACATTTAGGCACTCGTGTTGTAAACATAGTATGACATGGGCACTCATATAATATCCTCTATATAATATTACATAGAGGATATTTTGTTAATGTAGTCAAATAACATCGAGTGGTCTGACAAAGTTGACATGTTCACGAGTGGCGCATATCAACCTTGTCAGACCATGAGATGAAATATATATGTTACTTGACAACATTAACAAAATATTTTATTTATTATATTTTGATCAGTGTGTATATATGATCGAGACATCGAGTAACTATTTAATAAGAAAGTAGTTCCAGGCGAAAGTGATATTCTACTCAGTGAGAATACCATTTTTTTCACCAATATTTACAGTATTTCACCCTTAAGAATATAATAAACTGCAGTATCTTCCACGGGCGAGTAATAAAGAAAAATACTTGATGTACAATGCAAGTATCTGATGTTCTATAGTATGATCCACCCCTTGCGACATTCTGGGGAGCAGGGTTTATTCATACCAGCCTTTCATCAGGTATCCGCAGTGTCTGATACAGTTATCAGTGAGTAAGTGTGTAACGCTGCACTGAGCAATTGTCCAGATACATGAAGGTGGTCTGTAAATATTCGAATCTGGACCAGACAATCCAGTGATTGATACAATGGCATGTATCAACAAAGTTGACCCCCCGAGCCCCTAAGTCAACTCTTACGAAAATCATGGGTTGCTGAAGACCAATTCCAACCTGGATTTTCACGTAGTGAGATAAAGAGAGTTTAGTTTTAACGCTGGTTTGAGCAGTATTTCAGTTACATTACAGCGTGTTAGCTTAATGTGGGAGGAAAACCCGAAGGAACCCACGCCAACCACTGGTGACCCCCACGGGTACGGGTATGGTGATGACATCAGTGATGTTCTTTGTTCCAGGAAGGGACACTTGCTTTCCGCGACAGAGAATGGGTCCTGAGACCAAAGACAGGCTTTAAGCCGGGTAGTCCTGTACAGTATGAAATGGAGCCGTACCAGCTGCCGGACTTTGGAGTCGATTTCAAATTGAGACGTAAGTAACGTTATTGACTGGGGACTCGGGTTACAACAGCTTTGAGCTGTGTTTCAGCAACACCACGGCGTGGGATGAAAGTCCCAAGTAACACAACTAGTACACTGTAAGCAGCATGGTGAACTGAGATTCGAACAAGGTAGCGATGGGCGGCACCTTAGACACTGTACCTACCAAGCCCCATAACAGTTAGGCCGTATTATAAAGAACATAATGATATTCATTGTATCAGTTTTAAGAGATCTACACACCAACAGACTTCATCCAAAACGAATACCTATAAAAGCATGTAGTCGGGCTGATTGTATTAAAAAAATATACATTTGGGGAGGATATTTTTAGTATTTTCTTGAAAAACAACATATTTTTTCTCTGAAGGATGGAAAAGGCACAATGAATATTTTTATAAAAACATATTAAATATACTTTCAAGGAGAACCAGTTATTCAACCTGTTTATGTTGATGTTGGAGGGATATATCCATAAGACATCCATTCCCCTGAAAATTGTTCATGTCATGTAAATATATTTAAGGTTGAGACTGTTTCCAGTGATGCATCATGTTTTCAGCATCCACAGGAAACTCGGCCGAACCCAGCACGCCATCTCCTCACGGCGTCCCCAAACCTACGGCACCTACAAGATCCAAACGGGATGTGACTGCATACAACGTGGACGTGCTCGCCGTCATCGACTACAGCATCTATTCAGAGTAGGCCTGCTACGTATATATTTCCTACACTTACAGGTCCCATGCAACCTATACTGTCATTAGAGGTGGTCAAACCAATAGGATGGTCAGATTCGAGCGTTAGGATTATTGCGTGTCTTGGAAGAGCGTTGCTATATATATTACAGGATTGTCCGGCCAAGACTCGATTGTCGTGTAACTCGAAACATGCTAAATGTAAACATGTGTAACACTATAAAATGGAACCACATCAAGTCATACTTACATGGAAAACGGATCTATGTGTTTCATTTAGTCTTTTGTCCAAGATATTTTTATGGATTAAACAGGGTAACTGCTCAGTGTATTCACGCATCCTTCTTATTTTTAATGCATTCAAGGGAGTCATATGTTGTTAGTTAAACACAGTGCAACTGTCAAAAGGGTAGCAGAATGTGTGTTCTTGGACTAGAAGATATAATCGATGCCAGGTTACATGCCCATGACACTGACATCACTGGTCAGAGTTGCCCCCCCTTGGCGTGCCAGAATGTTATGATAGTGGGATTGAATACAAAATTCGTAGCTGAATTTCCCTATAAACTTTCTCTGATGTTGTAAACTTGCATCATTTTGGTCCTTAAACCCTAAAAGAGTTGACATGTTGTGGCATTGACTCAATGTTCACTCATTCACCGACGTATAGCGTCATGAGAACCAGCGAGCGCTTTCAGTGAAACATGTTGCCGGAACTCAGTGGCAATATAATACCGTTCATTTAATTAACCTGGATCATTAACTCAACTGGGCGAGCGTAGGGGGATATCTGTATGAACACTGGATTAGGCAGGTCACGTACTTGTCACATTCCTGCGTGACACTTGAATGGCGAGGGATATCAATTGACTTATATAATCATTTTTTTTATAATTTCAGTAAGCTTCTCTCAATCCACTGGCAATGTTTAGATATGCACCAAGTTTAAATAACCGTATCGGCTGTTGTCTTATGTTGCAGTTAAATTAATCAACGAACCTTAGTCCTAGATTTAATGAAAATCGAGTCGGCCATAGGTTTAGGCCATCCTCTGAAACTGTTGTCCTTCACGTTTTGTAGGTAAGCTTAACGGCGAAACTTTCTTATGATTATAGAACAGCGGAAAGAGGTCACAGTTCGTCGTATACATTCACCGTTATCCGTTGTTCTGTTGCAGATATTTCGACAGGAGCCAACTGGGAACGGCGGCACTAAAACGAGATGATGCTTTGACAGAAATACGAAAATATTACGCCCACATAATGAATGGGGTAGGAAGGTTACATCATCTGTAGTGGACTCACGTTCGAACTACCTTCTATTCGAGACCAGTACCGTGTGTCATCACTGATTGTAAATGTTCCATCCATATCCTACTTGCTCTTTTGACTTAAAGTTTCAAATTTACAACATATTGACTCTCAATTCGTTGGATAATCAAGAGTGTGTAATCATTCCATGGGAACTTTTTCACCTTAAATATTGGCGTGTATTCTTTACAGGCTGGTCTAAATGTTTTTTGATTTGGATGCCAACCTTGAAAATATTCTGGATTTTGTTAAGAAGTATCATTTTCAAAAACCAACATACGTGTCATTCAGCATGGTTACCTGTAATCAGCTGACTAACTGGTTCAGTTCTTGAGTGAGTAAGTAAGTATGGTTTTACGCCGCTTTTAGCAATATTTCAACAATATCACGGCGGGGGACACCAGAAATGGGCTTTACACATTGTACCCATGTGGGGAATCGGAGCCGGGTCTTCGGCGTGACCAACGAACGCTTTTACCACTAGGCTACCCCACCGCCCCATCAGTTCTTGTAGTACTGGAATAAAGTTGTGTTTACCTTACTCAAATCACAAGGGATAACTATTTTAAATCACGAACTTTGAAGGATCTTTTAATAATGTCAGTTCTCATTTAATTATTGCAATGTTAAAAGAATTAGATTTGTTAAATGATTTGTAAATACATAAATATTCTATGATTGGAAGTTTAATTTAATAACTCAAATTGTTAGTGGCTGTACCCTTAAAGAGGGTTAAAGTATCGTAAAAGTATTGTCCTACTGAGAGGGCACGTAAGTCCCAAAACATTTGATCTAAATTTAAGTCTACCAGGTTTTTAGTCGTAGTATTTTTGTCATTTTAATGCATGGCTAAATCTCAGCATAAACGCCAATAGCTGAAGGGATGGTGTAAATCCAGCTAGGGTCCATGCAGGTAGCAAAAGTAATGTAAGTCCCCATGGACCCTAATATGGTGATCTACCTTCAGTTGTTGCCGATAAATAGCCCATTTTTACATTGTATTGTCCAAATATAGTTTTCTGTTTTTAAAAGATATATGCTAGCTAGTTTTAAATCATTTGTGATAATCTAGTCCTGTTACTGTCCTTCGGTGACAGGGTTTTATATATTATATGTATGTATTCTGCATTTAGAACTAGTTTTAGTCACGATATAGCTGAAATATTGCCGATGTGACTTTAAATCTTAACTCACTCACTCACTCACCTTACTCAAAATGTTTATAAAGCTGTAATCGTGTATACATCCTTTTAAAATGCACATAAATGGTCTGTTATATAAATTTATAAATCCCTTGTCTATTTATACCGATCATATATTTTCGCTGGATTTACAATATGACCACCAGTTTGGCTACCAGTTGACAACTTTGGTAACATTTCACGTTGAGAACATCTAGCTTGATTCATTAAACACTTTTGGAATTACAAAAAAGGTAATTTAAATTTATATCTTTAGGTGCATGGGGGCCTTGTCCTCCTCCTGTGATAGAACAAACATGCCATAAGACCAAGTCACCGATCCCGATATATTGTGGAGCCCGTTAAGACCAGCATAGGTGACGAGGACTTGTGGACTACAATCTGTAAAGATTACTATTGCGCATGATGGTGTAAATACGTTCAATAATTCTAAAATATTCGAAGATACGGATTTTCTATTTCCATATACTCGATATAGTTTGTCTATCCTTCCATCATCTGTGATGAAATCCATGGAAAAAATCTCTTTGAAACATGCATCTCCCATATTCCGGTGACACAGCTCGTAGACTATTACAAGTTAGAGACGGATAAGACTCCTACTGACTGACTGACTGACTGAGTTTGGTTTTACGCCGCTTTTAGCAATATTCCAGCAACATCACGGCTGGGGACACCAGAAATGGGCTTCACACATAGTACCCATGTGGGGATTCGAACCCGGGTCTTCGGCGTGACGAGCCAACGCTTTAACCACTAGGCTACCCCACCGCCCCGATAAGACTCCGATATATTGTTGAAAGCATGCTAGTGTTAAAGGTTTGTCAGCACCGTGTTAGTGTTCGGGTGCCCCACCATACTGGCAAACATCAAAGACTGATACACCGTGATATAACTGTCATAGGTCCCACACAAACGGACCAGACCTCTTGGAATCCAAAACCCTTCTCAGAATAATTTGGTTATAGCTTTAAACAGAAACGTAACCGTTACTTTTTTCTGGAGTAGAACGAATAAAGATGAATAACCAAGGGTCATATTTACGTTATATCTTCAGATCGCACTGCGGTATGCAGACATTGACGTCAGTGATATGGATCCGCCTATTGTCGTGAGGCTGGTTGGCTATTTCGTCGCGGAGGTACAGTGATATTTGATACACAATGTTTTCATGCACTTACGTTTATCTTCGTTCACGCTGAAATCCGAGCTTGGTAAGCATTATCAAACATGACGATCAAATGTACCTGAAAAAGGATACAGGCGTTTGTAAGTTTATAAGTAACGAGTAATCGCCATCGATTTCTTAGAACATATACCTGAATAACGTATATGGCCACAAAAAACGTATATTGCCACAAAGGTAAAGAAATCGGCAACAAATATACAAGTAATGATATTTTTAGCAACTGCGAAAATGACTTTCGATCTACGCACATTTATGTTTGACGTCAGGACGTTTACGCGTTCACATGTGGCAGTTATCGCAACGTTTCAAAACGGGGCAAATATATTTATTAATGATCAGTTCATGGTTAAATTACAAGTATACCAGTGTACATACTAGGAACGCAAACGTATTTTGTATTTATGGACCACAGGACGCAACGACGGCGGTATGGACTGAACCATACAAGGCCTTTGACCGCACCGAATACATTTACCACGTCGACGTCGACTTGTCCATTGACCGTCTGAAGAAATGGCGGCTGGAAACAGCGTTGCCTGTCAATGACCACGCCATGCTGTTCACCAGGTTGGTGTTTAGTTAATTCAAGTAATTCGTGTACAGTTGACACATCCACTGTGTATATGGGGTCAAATCATCCAAGCATATGCGATGAAATCATCCTTTTGCCTGAATTGTCGGAAAGTCAGGACAAAAGGTGTGTGTGGGGGGTGGGGGTGGGGGGGGTCTATGACGTGTTCGCCTATGTGAAAGTCGATCATTGTTTACTATTTCAGATACGCCTTGTCCTATCTCGAAGGCGGCAACGCGAATCTTGGAGTTGTCGGTACGTAGCCTGTTAATCATTTGGACCAGTTTACACATCATGTCTGTGACAGGTTACGTGTCCATTTCCAAAAATAAGTCAACCTTGAAACTGGAAACAAACATTGTAGGAATCGCTTTACACAGTGGCATCACATAAACAAGGGAAACATAATAATAATAATTATAATAATAATAATACGTTTGTCTCTACATCCTTTGAGCTTTCTGCTCAACAGAGAGGAGGGTTACCACCCCGAACCTCCCCAGCACAGATCCCCAACACCGCTTACTCATCTTCTCTATATGATTGACATCGAGCTCCTTGCCAAAGGAGATTCCAATGTAAAAGAGCAGGCTCTCCTTGTCGAGTCCTTTTCTAATGATATTGGCATGACATTTGCGCTTGACAAATGTAAAACTCTTCATTTGAAACGTGGCAAGGTAGTTAATGGTGGATCGGTCAAGTTACAAGGGGGGAGGAGTTATTGAGCATCTTGTGGAAGATCAGGCCTACACCTATCTTGGAATGCAAGTTCGAGACAAGCTCCAGAATGCTTCGGGCCGAGTACAAATCTCGTTTAAAAAAAATCTGGAGCTCAGAGCTAAATGCTCGAAACAAGGTCAAAGCCACCAATACTTTTGCTGTGCCAGTCCTTTCCTATTCCTTTGGAGTAGTTGACTGGACGAACAAGACATCCAGAGTCTTGACCGCCTGACCACGAAGGATCATGTCTGATAATAGAGCCCACCACCCTCGTTACACTCTTAACAGTTTATATATGCCAATCAATTCTGGAGGTCGGGGTTTGATTAATGTGGAGGCTCTTCATAATAGAATTTGATTGTGTACTTTTGCACATATTTATTGATCGGATGATCCGCTGGTGATGCATGTCAAGACTCATGATGAAAGCAAGGAATTCCACAGCTATTTTAAGCGTGCTAAGGTTGTTGGGCAGAATCTGAAATTTGATGTTGATTTTCTTTTTGCTGCTCAGGACCAGTCACTTCCCATTCGCAATCGCCTTAATGTGATTCTTAAGGAGAATATTAACATGAAGTGTCGACTTTGCAATGAATTCACAGAGACTGTCCAACACCTTGTCAGAGGATGCCCTTCCTTGGCACAAACAGCATATCTGAAACAACATGATGGCATGGCTCGCTGCTTCTACTACCGTCTTCGGCATGCCTGTGGCTTTGACTTCGAGGTCCGTCCTTGGTACGACCCTGAACATGTCCAGGCGTCATGGAAAATGATGCTTTCAAACTTCTGTGGAATAGGCCCATATACAACCTCAGCAGAATTCCTGCCAACAAACCTGATCTTCTCCTTTTTGATAAAACCAATGAATTTATTTATATCATTGAATTTTCTGTCCCTTTTGACAGCCATGTGATTGGCAAGATTCAGGAAAAGCATGATAAATATGCGGACCTCGCCTTTGAAATGTCTCGCTTGCATCCCAAGTACACTGTCGCCAGGCTCCCCATTGTTCTCGGTGCCCTTGGTTTGGTACCTCCTGATCTCTTGGCGCAGATCAGGAGAGTGCCCGGGTTCTCCACCGGGAGTACAGCCCTTCTGACATTCTGGCTAATGCAGAAGGCTGCAGTGTTGGGGAGCCTTCATATTCTCCGGAAAGTTCTTGGTGGGTTTGACAAGGCAGTGTTTCCTGGGAGAAGTCCCATTCGCTGTCTGGGCTACGTGTAGAGGGGGCAAGGGCCCTGAGCTGATGATGAGCCTTACCAGCCTGACTGTGCCAGGATCACCCGAACCCTCTCTGCTGCATTTTCATCTTTAATCTGTAAAACATAATAACAAAAAATGTATTTAGACACAGGCTTAGATGGTGAGTTTAGGTAGTCCGACGACCACTTTCAGCGCGGCATTTTTGAAAATACGCAAACAAGGAAGATGTCCAAGTTGTTTTAACGTGTCTGACAAATGGGACGTCTAAATTATGGGAGGACACCGTTGTAACTCGAGTTACCCCCCTTTCACGTATGACCCACCTTCAGTCCGTTTGAGACAAAATGATACCGATGAATTGCAATCTAACACAAACACAAATCGGCATAAAAGAATCAAACCAATGCGAACTGCAATAAACACAACAGACCAACTCTAGAAAATACTTGCATAATTTTTGTCACAAAAATAAAAAAGTTATTTAAGAAACTGTCATCATTTATTTGTTCGTTTTCCAAGTTTGTTACAAGGGCGGAGTGGCAACTAAAGGAACAGCCCGAAAAGCGAGATGCACGTGCATTAGTGACGTCAGAGACATGTGATTACTTCTGATTGACAAAGTGAGAGAAAATGAAAGTCTATAATTTAGCAAGTCTATGATTTTTTCAAGGATGAAAATGATAGGGGGAGACCCAAGTATGCAATTACTAAGTACAAGCCTGTGCAGCTGGGGTACGTGTCATCTCGCCAGCTCAAAAGTTTGTAGAGAACCCGTTAACGCACGTGCATCTTGCTTCATCGGTATCATTTTGTCTCAAACGGACTGTACAGTATACAAAGTTCACAATTGTCGTGTGCATCTGAGGTTTCAGCCAATAACTCAACCGATGCGAGTAAGTGAGTTAATTAGTGTCATCGCACATGCAATAATCTAGCCCTATAGCAATAAACGTGGCTAATGCGACATCCACTAGGCAAGCTTAAAACTCTAGACCGCCACATGTATATTACCACTGTCACTTTACTTCTGCTTATCACTTTGTGTACAGGATATGCTTTTGTGTACAGGATATGCTTTTGTGTACAGGATATGCTTTTGTCGGGGCGACGTGCAGCAACGACAGCGTCTCGCTTATTGAGGAGTCCAGCGACCGTTTTGAAGGGACAACCGCCACAGCTGCCCACGAACTTGGCCATATGTATGTATAAGGGGGCGTAAGGAACTACCGTTATATGTAACAAAGGTTAAGTGGTTCAGCTCTCAATAAAACATAGATATAATTCAAACCTGGAGTAAATTAATCCGTGTATAGACGATGTAATCTTATGAAATTCTTTATGAAATGAAGAGGACCTGTCCAAAGAACCAAGACTTTGCATTAATTGTATGTGAACAGTACCACTCCCAGTTGTAATGTGTAGATTTGGCAGCAACAAGACAACAGCAAGGAGGAAACGTCTTTGTAATGAAAGCACTCATTGGTCAGAACGTTTCCTAACTTCTATGATTTATGGTAAAAAGGCCTTGTCTGATTGGTACATGTCAAAGCAAGTACATGTCAAAGCGGCCATTATTTAACTAAGTAAAATGAAACCATTTGCTATTGACATTTTCTACATTTTGTTGCGATCTTTCAATTACAGAAACATCTTTTAAAGTTTTGATGATAGAGTTTGGAATATCTCTCTTGACATCACATTGATGAACAGGTCTTTCCCCAGATATGTGATGAATCTATCACTGTATAGAGCACCAAACCAGATTAAATGAATTTCATTTTTTTATTTGACAAAATACCATGAAATAGCCAATCAGTTGTCCGCCCTAACCCAGATTCACAATCAACGGCATCTAAGAGCGTTTTACTGCGACAAAGGTAGATCGATCGTGATGATCGGAACAACTCCAGAAGCGTTAGCAGAAAGTCGGTATATCAAAAATATATATAGTATTACATATTACGGATTAGGTCAACAATGCAATAGATATAATCATCTTATTACTTTAAAGTTTAGACGGACAATGCGAAATACTTTTTTTTTACCAGTGTATTCTGCTTGGATGTATTGATATTGATAAGTCTGTATTCGTTCACAGTATAATACTGCAGTACTTGCAGTGTCTGTATGGTGTTGTCAATATTTGTGGCAAGAATGCTACTATACGAGTATTGATCAGTAAGCATAGGATCGAAGTATAACGCCCAAGATCAACAGTCTTCGAATACTGGAAACAGTAAATTATTAATAATATTATATACATGCAAATATACGTTCTTATGTTTAGAGTTCGATGGATATCATTACTCACATCTCTCGTTAGTACTGCAACTCTGCCATCTAGAAAATGACTGTCGGAAAGATATGTTAAAAAATGTAATGCTCGTTATCACCTTACTTCACTGAACCTGGTACTTTGTCAGTAAATAATCGAGTTTGGACCAGACAATCCACTGATCAACAGCATGAGCATGTACACTCCGTATACATTCGTGTTGCTATACAGAACGTTCACATTCTTCACATCTTTCCAATTGATCCTGACTTCGTCAATCAATGTGTTCTCAGTTGCGGATGGAGTCCGCACATATATTATCAAAGCAAAAAGGACAAACATGAATCATAATCTGACTTTTCGTTAATTAGGGCAGTTTTACCAGGAATCTTACCGACCGGTTGAATAGGGGTTCAGTATACTTCATTATCTTACCCATACTGGAGGACTTACTGTAAAATTACTTTGCGTTTGTCCAATAAAAGCGCTATAGCAACACGGTGCTGACTGACACATTAGTATTGATGAATATTTTATTACGTAATGGAAATTACAAATAAATGTTTCCGCCAGATAAATGTTTCCGCTGGAACCATACCTTTATTTTTTTGGTTTTTGCGAGAATCGTTATTCCTCTCAGAGTCAAGCAGTTTCAAACAATGTCCTGCCTTGTTATTAAGACGACCTCTGTGTAGTCACACTCACGTGCATGCCAATCTCGAAATATCACATAACGTAAAAATAAGTCCTCATCCGTAATTTCGCAATGTGATCTTTCGGATTTCGTCAAGTTATGTAGCAAAAGAATTGCAATACTTGCCAGAAATACCGGGGGATGAACAAGAAGGTCTCTTGTTTTTTGTACGTAGTCTACTCCAGTCGAGTTTGAGAAATATAGTATAAACTATGTTTTCATTCAGTACATCAATTATCTTTCATACGTTCCAATGTAAAAGATCATCAACACATTCATGCCTTTGAAAAAGGCCGATTATGGTCAGACCCATCTCTCCGTTTCCGAAGCTGGAAATATTTAATCCTGAAACAGAAAAGTTCGACACGGCATTTAAAGAAGATGATTGATTGATTAGCCCGTGAACATCTGGTTAGAATTGATCTTCAGTAACCCATACTTGTCGTAAGAGGCGACAAAAGGGACCGGGTGGTCAGGCTCGCTGACTTGGTTGACACGTGTCATCGTATCCCAATTGCGTAGAACGATGCTCGTGAGGTTGATAACTGGATTGTCTGGCCCAGACTCAATTATTTACAGACATATAGCTGGAATACTGCTGAGTGCGGCGCAAGACTAAACTCTCTCACTCACTCATTGTAGGCATATGTTACATTCAGTCTAGGAGCGGAACATGACGGATCTGGTAACATTTGCTGGAAAGATGAGAAGTTCTTGATGTGGCCAAGTTTGACGTCCACCAACATCTACCACGTATGGGAATTTTCCCACTGCTCCGTCACCTATTTCAAGATCCATCTTGAAGCACTTGTAGACACTCAGTAAGTACTCAGCACGATGTGCATGAACACAAGACGTCTTTTTGTACAACCAGTTCTTGGAATAAATCCTACTTCCGGTTTCATTGATGCCAAGAAGATGGTCTGGCTATGTATTATGTCCAGCAGTTGTTGCTGCACTTTGTGGTCAAAACTTCATGTCAGTTTTAGGAAAGGGAAGTATGAATGTCGTCTGTGTATAATCTTGCAACTAGATAAATGTTTTGTCCAACTTTCGCAGGGTTTTACCTTGTTCTTGTTTCCTAAACCAAAGATATGTAGATAATTAAGGCTCTCTCCGTATCTTATATAATGAGGGGTGGTGGGGGTAGACTAGTGGTTAAAGCGTTCGCTCCTCACGCCAAAGACCCGGGTTCGCTTCCCCTCAATTATGTTGCTTAGTACAGCAGTGTTTTTCCTTCACAGAGAAGGTTCCAAGTGTCTCGGTGAGGTCGCAGAAACTAATGCAGATGTTTTTGACGTTGCTGGTAAAAGGCATGCCCAGGATTTCACCATCAATGAGCAATGTGAACTAGGCGTGGGAGCTGGGTCAACCATCTGTCTTGTGAGTGAGCAAACAACCTGCCTTATCATTGCACACTGCCTAGAATATTCCAGAAGTACTGAAGTTTTAGGTTCATCGGCATAATTTCAGCCATATAGTATATTCCGCTAAGACGGTGACATGCTAATATGCGAATCTGGAACAGTCAGTCCTGTGTCTGGACACGTAATGTCATGAACACCGAGACACACAATCAACCGTGCCTCTGAGACCGACCGCTTGATTTTGTCAGTCCCTTGCTGGGTACCAATGAAAACTCGGGAATAAGAGTAAAGTCAACTAAAAAAAAAGTCAGAAAAAAATCAAATGATACTACAATAGTCGTCTGCAGTGAATATGCACGTACTATTTTTTCTCTTTAATGGTATTTTAGAAGGAAACCTGTAATCTACGTTTCAGGGTCTGACACCATTGGAAACATTGTGTGGATTATTATACTGTGAAATACCTGGCTATGCAGGCTACTGCCAGGGGATATATCCAGCTCTTGGTACCCAGTGTGGAAGTGGGAAGGTAGGCGATGCCGAACTATTTCTTTAAAACTGCCAGTCTATATAGCAAGCCGTTGTTACCCAATGTGGCAGCAGGAATGGAAGCGATGTTAACCTGTTTCCTTAACACCACCAGTCCAGATCCAGTCCTTGCTACAGTACATGGTGTGGAAGTGGGAAGTTAGGTGATGCTAAACTGTTACTCCAAAACGTCTAGACAGTCTGTCCACAAGTGTAGACGTGGGAATGTAGGCAGTGAAAAATTGATGCTCAGCAGGTGTATATAAGTGAAGTGTATGAGTGAGTGAGTTTAGTTTTACGCCGTACTTAGGAATATTCCAGCTATATGGCGGTGGTCTGTAAATAATCCAGTCTGGACCAGACAATCCAGTGATCAACATCATGAGAATCGATCTACGGAAGTTGGATACGATGACATGTGTCAATCAAGTCAGCGAGCCTGACAACCCGATCCCGTCAGTCGCCTTTTTACGACAAGCATGGGTGCTGAAGACCAATTCTAACCACAACAAACAAACAAACAAACAAACAAACAAACGTTTACCAATGTTTGTTTTCTTACAGTGGTGCCAGGGAGGGCAGTGTGTCGACACCAATGATACATCCATTACATCAGGTGAATATGATGATTTTTTCTTTCTTTTTTTTTCGTTGCGTTGCGATTGGTTAGCCTAGTGGTTAGTGCGTTCGCTTATCATGTTGGTTTCGATTCCAAGCATATACACCATGACTGAATACAATAACGGTGTCTCGCGCCATTATAGCAGAAATATTGCTAAAATCGCCTTAAAATCCATCTCACTAACTCTATGTGTGTATGGCGGAGGTCTGTAAATAATCGAGTCTGGACCAGACAATTCAGTAATCAAAAGCATGAGCATCGACCTAGGCAATTGGGATACGCTGACATGTGTCAGCCAAGTGAGCCTGACCACCCGATCCCGATCTTACTGCCGCCGTGGTGTAGTGGTTAGAGCGTCCGCCCTGAGAGCGGAAGGTCGCGGGTTCGATCCCCGACCGCGTCATACCAAAAGACGTTAAAATACGGTACTTGTTGATCCCTGCCTGGCGCTGGGCATTAATGGGTACAACAAGGACTGGTCAGCTCGGAGTCAGTATAATGTGTCTGAGTGGGGTATTCATGCTACACTGCGGCATGGTATCTCAGTGGGCTAGCACTATAAAACCAGCTTCAGTCTGGGCTAGTACAAGCAGCCGCACATACACATACACACGCAGCATGCACGTCGTCATATGAGCGAAATATTCTCAAGCACGACGTTAAACCCAATTTCACCTCACCTCAATTCTAACCCGGATCTTCACGGGTCAGTGAACACCAAAAGTCGAAGCGGTTAGAACACTGTTCGATTCAAAAGGGAAATTACACTTTTCAAGAATTGACGTAGTTCGTCCTCTCATACATATCAGGGGATCCATTATTGTCACTGATTATTTGAACATCCTTTTGTATAGCCCTGAGTATAACGGATTCCCTGGCCTATTTCATGTCAATTTCAGGTAGGTAAGTCAGCTGAAGGAACTGCTCCATCATCAAACATCGATCGTTTGCAGCTTTGTAAACCTTTCTAGTCCAGTTCTAAAGTTTTCGGATGTTTACAGAAACATCGACACAATGTCATACCTATGGAATCCTGGAAGGGACATTGTCGCGTTGTCGCATTGTCGCGTTGTCGCCCTCTCAAAAACAAGCAAAATGAGGCAAAATTAACCAAAGCGCGACAATGCGACAACGCGACAATGTCCCTTCCAGGATTCAATACATATCTGTAAAGGAAAGGAGTATGCTCGTTGAAATGCGGATGCAATTGTCCTGTCCAGACAGAATTCATGAATGAGGACTTCTTGCTTTTAGCGTATTGTCTTTGACATACGATGAGTGAGTGAGTTACGATTTTAAGTCACATCGACAGTATTTCAGACATATCGTTAACATTAGATGACACCGTCCGTATTTAGTAAAACAATCCTCCTGGAAAGGAGGAAAGGAGGAAAGTGACAAATGTATATGTTTGGTCAGCATAAGGAAATGCCCCCTATATCGGTGCATCCCTTTCGTTTGTCGTTTTCGATCTTAACAAATACTAATTCTTGGACTTTTGTTCCAGATAGTTGCCCCCTTGGTGAGACGGCGACCGTGTACGACACAGGACAAGATTGTTTTTCATACATCGAGGACTATGGCTCCAGCTCCTGTTACACAATAAAAGGCCTTTGTTGCAGCACTTGTGATGCTCGTAGTTCGGGTGTAGATGGTACGTCCTTGTAAATGTTCGGTAGGTCTACAGACCACATCTTATATAACGAATTTTCCGACCAGGATTAGTGTAAAATAGTTCCTAGCACTGAATCGGACGGTTGATACAGTCCCCTAGCCCTGAACTGTTATGGGTGATACAGGCGGTTGGTTTTCCGACTGAGATTCAGCGTGTGACTGGTGTTGGTTTAATTTACAATTTATGAGTGGGTGAGTGAGTATGGTTTTATGCCGCTTTTAGCAATATTCCAGCAACATCATGGCGGGTTGTCAAACGTTAAATCACAAAAAGATATTAGATATTCTATCGACGACGACCCATATGCCGTACTAATATATACGTGTTCCGTTTCAGGATGCGAGTACGGTGACCGCTACACGTGGTGTGACAAAAAAGTTCTGCGACCCTAAGTTGAATGAGACCATGTCGGATGGCACAGAGTACCAGGTAGTCTGCTGCCAAACCTGTGGATGGACGGGCGACCTTTACCTTGACGAAAACCATGCTGTGTCTTTGAAGGAAGGGAATATATTTCACACCTGCATATTCTTCTTTCTGGCTTTGCAGTTTCTCCATTTCGAATTCTTGCCCTGAAAATATGGCTTGTGTTCATTTTGATTATAAACTGTGATATAGTTGTGACAAGTTATGACGCAAGGCCTTTCATGTATGTTTAAGGCCCTTGATGTATCTTTAAGGCCCTTCATGTATCTTTAAGGCGTTTCACTAAAAACAAATCTGTGACATCATTCGTTTGGTTTAAGCAATCCATTACCGTTTCGGTTGCTCACAGATTACTCCCTTCTAAATTTTCATGAACTTTCCTTTCATTCATATACGCAAAGTAACGCCTTATCCAATTTTATCGCCATCTTTATTTGTGCAAATACTGACAATACGTGCCCGCCAGCAATCACATGACAGATTTGTAAACGCAGTCACGAAGCAGCTTTCAGACGCATTGGACAACACCTCGTTAGGTGTGTTTAGTTTCATGCCGATTTTAACAACATGTCAACAATATCACGTCGGATGTAACCAGAAATGGGTTTCACACATTGTATCCATGTGGGGAATCGAACCCAGGTCTTCGGCGTGGCAAACAAAGCCTACTAGGCTACCCCACCTCCCAACAATACCTGAACAAAACAGAGAAGTAGCCCTTATAATGGCAACAGTTCTCTCCCAAACCACCTATGCCTTTTTGCAGGATTATATATATGATAAAGTGATTCCTTTACACTGTTTGGCTGAAGAGAGGCTGTACTGTTCCAGAACAATTTACTGAGCAGAGTTGTAGCCCTTGGCCATATGACTTCCGGTTCTACTACTGGAGCTCACTGTGACTAGGATCCTGAGTATATTGAAACAATATCATGATTGGTCGTTTTTTTTCATTTCGTTACATGTATGTGATATGTGTTTCACAACGTAATTTTCTTAGGATATATATTCATGTGTTATAAATCTTATTATCGGCAAGATATTAAACTTTATTTCAGTCTTATGAGCGTCCATGTAAGTGAGCTCATTGGTATCAATGCATAATGTTTTGACATATATTCAATTTACTATCAGAACGCAAGTGTCACAGACCTACAGTGTTAAGCCTGAGATGCCAAAATGTTTTAAATGTGTGATTTGTTAATACATATGGACTATACATAAGGAATTCCTTGTGTTACAAAACCCTATATGTTTTGTTGATTTTTAAAAACAATAAGCGATATGGTTACAGGACAACTGGAATATGAAAGGCACAGGGTCTGTAAGTCTCGCGATGCGATACTCCCGTACTAAGCTGGTTCCCCGGCTCCCTTTGTCCGCGCCAACTTGCGACGGGGCCCAGCTTATTTCCGGTACCAGATTTCCGATGACAACTGGATATTCAAGATCCAGTTCTGGTTCCATGTTGCGCAACCGCCAAATATGACTTTACTACACCAAGTGTACAAGCATGCTTTGCTGTCACAGCTGTTGACATTGGAAATAGTTGGCTAGTTTGGGGATGGTTAGACCCCGCAAGAATTATCAGTTCCTTACTGTCAACTGACAACCATGACCCCATTTGAAAAGGTATGAAACGTTGTTTGTCATCGGAAGTACTGAGGTCTCGCGAAGTGCCGTGACCAACTTTTGTTTTATTTTTGCACGTGAATATTGGTCAGCCTGGAGGTGAGGTGAAATTGGGTTTAACGTCGTGCTTGAGAATATTTCGCTCATACGACGACGTGCATGCGTGTGTATGTGTATGTGCGGCTGCTTGTACTAGCCCAGATTTAAGCTGGTTTTGTAGTGCTAGCCCACTGAGATACTATGCCGCAGTGAAGCATGAATACCCCACTCAGACACATTATACTGACTCCGAGCCGACCAGTCCTTGTTGCACCCATTAATGCCGAGCGCCAGGCAGGGACCAACAAGTACCATATTTTAACGTCTTTTGGTATGACACGGTCGGGGATTGAACCCGCGACCTTCCGTTCTCCGGGCGGACGCTCTAACCACTACACCACGGAGGCAGTCGATCAGCCTGGAAAACGGAAAATGATACGTTTTTCAATCACAGACACACCACAGTATTGGTCAGGGGTTCCAGCCGTCTCGGAGAATGTATTCAGAATATAACTTACGTAATGGTCACTGCAGATCAGTCTCATTACAAAATGAACATGTAAATAGTGGTGGGCAGTTATTGTATTTTGAAAAAAAACCTCGGCAATATCCGAACCATGTGGTACTAATGATAAATATTATGTTTCTCAATCGTGTGATTAATCCACAGAATGAGAATACAACCATCTGCTATCAACCAAACCCCGTGTATAATCACCCGATTCATTGTGCCAGATGTTGCGAACAGGCTATCGTACCCTTCCCCACCGATGGGGTCATCACAAACATACACCGGCAAGACCGGTGTTCACCTTTCAAAATAACCCGGAGTATATCATACAAGGAGACACAGAGAACTGAATCAGGCGTAATTTTAATCAAGGATGCGTCAAGTTTGGAAATGTCGTCCATATGACGGCATAAAACATCTTGAAAGCATGTATATGGCCTTCAGTGTTGTACTCCCGGGCCTCCTTTCACAAAGCACAAGGTGATCGTAAGTCACTAAGGTAACCTTAAAGCAATGTTAAAGAATGGAAGTTAAGGTTAACCTTAGTAAAGGTTGCTTCGTGAAAGGAGCCCCAGATCAACAAATTTGAGCAGGAAACGGCCCTTCCATGTCAATCACCCTCGATAATCTCCAGGGTATACGTTACTATTGAGTTCGGATTACCAGGCTGTTGAGGCTACAGTTTTGAAGGCCTATGAATTGGTACCGTACACAAGTTAAGGTCTACTGAGATAACTGATGGTTCGACTTTCGTTGTGTTTGCGAGTGAGAAAGGATTCCTACAGTCGACTTAGCATTTGACTGATTTCATATTGACATGCATCCTCGATAATCTCCAGGGTATACGTTACGATCACTCTCCACTTAACCCTGGATGCATCTACGGCTTGGGGCGATGATTTTATTACCTCCTTTGGCTGGCTCCGCATTCTCACAGTAGCCAATGAGCTAAGCCGCCGTTACAACCGAGCTTGCCAGTGTCAACAAAGATTGCAGTCGCAGTTGCAAAGGTTTGTTCGCAGTGCCACTCAGATTTTTGGGGAAATAATAAAGACAAATTCACAGATCTGAAACTTATAGAATATATGAAAGAACTTCTTTCAGAGTACCTCTGCATCAATTGTGTTGTCAAGATTAAACGGTTAGATAATTTAAGACGCGAAAGTGAGTAGTGATTGGTACACTCAACTTCCCAGCGCAGGCACCTGACTGGATAAAAAGCCAGCAAAGGGAGGTAATAAAATCATCGCCCCAAGCCGTGGATGCATCCAGGGTATAGTGGAGAGTGATCGTAACGTATACCCTTGAGATTATCGAGGATGCATGTCAATATGAAATCAGTCAAATGCTAAGTCGACTGTAGGAATCCTTTCTCACTCGCAAACACAACGAAAATCGAACCATCAGTTATCTCAGCAGACCTTAACTTCTGTACGGTACCAATTCATAGGCCTTCAAAACTGTAGCCTCAACAGCCTGGTAATCCGAACTCAATAGTTACGACAGAATTAACTTCTACAGCTTATCTTCTAAGTATGCTATCAAGTAAGCACATTGTCCACTGACTTTGACTGGGATTGGGTAACTTCTGGCTTACACAACATTTAGCGTAACCTTCTGGCTTACACCACATTCAGCGTAACCTTCTGGCTTACACAACATTCAGCGTAACCTTCTGGCTTACACAACATTCAGCGTAACCTTCTGGCTTACAGCACATTAATTCAGTGTAAGCCTCTCTGGTTTTCTTGTACTGTCCCTGCTTCAGCTCAGTGTTTGCAATGAAATTAACACAACAACATGTTTCCTGAAACAAGGTACTTCGTTGTCATGCTTCATGGCCCTAAATTCATAATATGCTTTACAAGAAAATGAGTTTCAATGTCTTACGGATTTAGCATAAGTGTGGCCAACACAAGTTTCATGTTATACGTTGATCAACGTAAACGTAAACGTACGGACAGGCGTACCAAGAAGCTATAGTCATAATATGTTTCCAACTGCGTATTTTCGGATTTGCAGCCAAATTTACGGTAACAAATTGATCCTGAATTATTATAAAGGAGGGATAGATAAGTACAAAAATACACTTTGGTAACACATATTGGTCGATACCCAGGTGGTTCATTCTCACGATACAATTTTCACAGAGACAAATAGACACAAACAGTAAGTAGTCCTAAACAGATAATCATCTGAACATCCATAAAATGTTCAAAGTATGTTGGTCAATACATTGTGGGCAAGAAACACGACATATCGATTCTAAATGCTGTTTGACACTGTTATATTTTCACGTATCCTAGCCGTACACCGTAATACAATACGTTTATCGTCATTTTCTATACCCTCAGGTAAGCAAATCCACAAGACTCAAGGTCAGTTATCCCCACAAATACACAAACAAGGTCATTTCAAGTCAAATCACGTATTTCAAATTTCTGTTTAACCCAAATAATTATGTTTTAAGCATTTTCGTTTAAGTAACATCAGTTTCGTTCTTCATGTGTAATTTTATAATCATCGTAGCATCTTCTCTCTCCGGCGTGAACAACCTTGAACGCATGTATATGAATGTCACCTAATCAGAGTGAGTATGATTTTAGGCCGCCTTTAGCAAAATCCCAGCAATATCATGGTGGAGGACACAAAAATGGGCTTCACACATTGTACCCATTGGGGAATCGAACCCCGGACTTTTGCGGGACGAGCGAACGCTTTAACCACTAATCTGCCCCACCGACCCACCCAATCAGAGTATCTACATGTATAACAAAAAATGCATCAATACCATAGTAACTAAGTCCGTTCATAATTAAATGACCTTCACATCGACCTTGGAATCTGACAGTCAATAAGAATGATTTGTGTTAACTCCATGTATATTTTATGTATATATAACTCATTGCAAAAGGCATTGAAATTTCTGGAATTATATTATGTGTAATAAATATACATGTATCATTAGTGACGCTGAACGTATAAGGAGTGATTGAGCATGGTTTGACGCCGCGTTTAGCCATATTTCAGAAATATCACGGCGCTGGACACCAGAAATGGACTCCACACTTACATTGTGGGGAATCGAACCCGGGTCTTCGGTGTGATTAGCGGACGCTTTAACCATAAGACTACCTCACAGCCCCGAACCTACAAGGAGATGATCTAAACACCACATTTGATATCATGTTGCTAATGTATGTATCGATACTCATGCCATCAATAACTGAACTGTTGTATTCCAGATTCCAGATTCGTAATTCTGAGTGTTGTAAATGTATTTTAATAAACCACACTTAAAAAATATAGACAATATTTGCCGACAAAGGATAATATAGTAACTAGACTATCACAGATTTAGACCTAATACGAGACAATATTTGTCGACAAAGGATAATATTTTTGCTGCCGATAATGTGCTATTCTCAAGCACTGTTGCAGGTTTACAAAGACTTATACAAGAACTTGAGAATTATTGTGACCAGTACAAATTAACTGTAAATAGAAATAAAACTAAAGTAGTAGTTTTTAAAAAAGGGGGGCGTTTATCAAAAAACGAGAAATGGTTGTATAAAGGTAAAGAATTAGAATGCACCAGTTCGTACAAATATTTGGGAATGTTCTTTAGTAATTGTTTATCTTGGACAACACATGTTAATTACGCTTGTTTGCAAGCACAAAAGGTCATGATAGGTATCTTTAAACAATTAAATGTACTTGGTGACATAAATATAAGTTCATACTTTAAAATATTTGATGCCAAAATTAAGCCAATTTTATTGTATGGAGCCGAATTATGGGGTTTGAATTATTACAGTGATATTGAAAGAGTTCAATTGAAAGCCTGTAAAAGATTTCTTGGTGTTAAATCCAATACGATG